ATTTTCCCCAAAGCTGTTGATTGATTGCTGAAAGAAATTCATTCCTTTCTTTTTATTGAGTACTTACATTACTTGAGGAAATATATCATAGTGAATAACTCCCAAATAATAAAAACAATTCTCACACTCAGATTAAACATTATGCAGTCATTTTTCACATATTCATGTGAAATTTGTAAATATTAAAAGAACTATATATTACAAGTTTCTTATACAAACTCTGCCAAAGTAACCAAAATAGAAAAACATATTACCATTTTGCAAAAGGTGATAGGCAAATATTTTATTTTCAATAAATAATTTTTCTTTCTGACACTTTTAACAGTGAATTTCTAATCTATAGATGACTTCTACTTTACGAATTTATTAAAGTTAGAGGTTTGAAAATTCCACCTGTGAAGAGCCCATTTGAGCAGTTACCATCTTTCAGTTTTCTAAATATCTTTTAAAGACAATTTTAAAAGATAAATAGAAATCAGTCTGTAGTGCCAGAACTTTTCAGTTCTTTGATGTATATTTTCATCATGAAAATACGAGAATATGCACTTAAAACAGAAATGTGAAACAAAATTATTGCTTCTTTTGAAGAAAAAAAATCAATAATCTCAAAGAATTACTTTGTACTAGAAAATTCAGTACCCTGGGAAGAAGCAATTGCACAAACAAACACTTGATGTCCATGGAATGTGGACTCCTTGGGACTTCAATCTTCATGGGAGCTCTCTCATTCTCAGCCAATCTTCACGCTGCCAGCAGATCAGCTCAAAAACTTTTCCCTGAAGTCAAAAAATACCTCACTTACACTTGCTTAGGGATGGACCCAGAAAGTAATTCAGAGGCAGCCAAATTCAGTTTGTCTCCACAAATATTTTTGGATTTTTTTCTTTTGTTTATTACTGTATATAAATATACATCCTTATTTCAAATAGTTTTTCTTTAACGTTAAATCATTCTTTGGTCCTAGTTTCTCTTCTGACAGTCACAAAGTTTATATGATTGTTAAAATATTTGAAATTTCACAGTGCAATTTTACAAAACAGTACATAATTTTACAATATCAGTGATAATTTACGACTACAACACTAGATCACTAATGTTGCCACAAGTGTATTAGAGGTTAATCTCATAAATGCCCTCTCATTTCATGTTATTACCTGTTTCACTGTATAAATCCTCCAATAACTAATAATAATGATACTAATTTACACACACACACGCACGCGCGCGCGCGCACACACACACACACGCGCGCGCGCGCGCGTATTGTATCATGGGAGGTTAGTGCACATTATACACATAGTGACCACCAAGCTATTGTCTATGAAGAGAAAGAGCAGTGCGTGTTGAGCCCACCAAGGGGTAGAAGGAAAGCTGTTTGGAACCACAGGACGTTCGATCGTGATTCCTTCACTCGTCTTCTTAGTACACTCTGTCTCTTAGTAACACTCGTCTCTTAGTACACCGTCTTTAAGTACACTCGTCTCTTAGTACACTCGGTCTCTTGTAGCACTCGTCTCTTAAGTACACTCGTTTCTTGGTATCTTCGTCTCTCGTCACTCGTCATTCATACTCATTTCTCGTACCTGTTACTCACACGTGTACTCACCACTCACACTCTCTCGTCTACGTCTCACTCGTCTCTCATCGAATTCCAAGCACTCCCACGCTCGTTACATACGCCTACTGTTTTCACGCACGCTCGTCACTCACAACGGTCGCACTCTCGTCAGGAGCACGATGAAGCAAACACACGATCGTTATGCCGTCACTGAAAGACCTCTAGCGCACATCGCCCAGCACCTGTTCGTGTAAATCTACACCGATCTCAAACATGATGGTTACATGCGATCATGTTTTCTCGTCAAGCACACTTGTGAAACACTAATAAGCCATAAGCAGGCGGATCCAGACGCGAATTTTGCAAGTGAAATTCAAAATGGTTTTGGTCGAATGAGTCATATTACAGATTTTGTAAATGTGGCAGGCTACATTTGTAACAGAGACTTATTATTATATTATTATTATTATTATATTATTATTATTATTATTATTATTAATATATTATTATTCAATAAAGCAAAAAAATCTGTTATTGGTATATATATATATATATATATATTATATTTATTATATATATAATATGTTGTGTGTGTGTGTTGTTGTGTGTGTGTTGTGTTGTGTGTGTGTGTGTGTGTGTGTGTGTTTTTACGGGGGCAGGGGAAAATCTTCTAAAGACACAGCAGGGCCCGCAACCCGCAGCGTGTGGGATTCATAGCTAGCCTATGCCTACCCATTAAAAACCCTCCCTTTCCTCCTATTCCTTCCCTCGGAACCCCGTCAGGCATTGCATCGCAGAAGGAAGGATGGCTTTTCGCACGTCACCGAAATATTACGGAGTCTTCTTCGTAACTGCTCTCGGATCGGAGCGTCTTCAGGACCTTTTGCGGCATAGGTGGCTACCGCACTCCAATACTCTTGTGTCAGCAGCATCCTAGTGACGATGGTCTCAGGGGTCACTTCCCTCTGGAGGAGTTTGTAAGCTTCCCTTTCCACTGCGAAGCGTGGACAATGAAAGAACACGTGTTCTACATCTTCAATCACCGGAACACCTTGGCATGAGAGCTATGTCCAACCGGAATGGAGCTGATACTCTCGTAACATCCATGCCCTGTCAATAACTGAGTTAGATAATCTAATTCTCCATGTTTCCTTGGATCCACGTCATGATTTCGGGAATGACCCGATAGTCCATCGCCCAGTTGATGATTGCTCCATCGTCGTTGCCATTGGTCCATTGTCACCCCCTCTCTTCTTCGTAATGGATCCAGTTTGAGGCCCCCTCCCGCTTGCGCAAATAGAGTTAGCTCTTTCCTGCGCAATGAGGACGATCGAGGCATATCTGCTAAACACACACACAGCATCATAAGATACGGTGCGAAACGCTCGAGCAACCCGCAGGCGGACCTTCTATGCACCGACTTAGCCCCACGGGCGTATGACTGAATGCCCATGGCATCACCCAAACGAGCTGCGTAGAGAAGAATGGATTTACTACGCTAGTCAGCAGCTCCGGCTTCTTTGCTCAGGACCCCTACATTATGGCATAAGGCTCCAATGCGACGTTATATCGAGAGCTTTCTCCGGAGACTATTGCGCAGGTGCTCGTCAAAGCGCAGTCTCGCGTCAATATGCACTCCTAAATACACAGTGACAGCTGCGAGGATATTCGCAACCTCCTACATTAAGAGTAATACTCTCTCTCACTTTTCTGCCCGTCACAGCACAGCCGCTTGTTTTATGGCGGCCATGCTGTAGCCCTACCGACGTAAGCCACGCCGCGATCTCGCCCACAGCCTCGTTGGCAACCTGCGTGACTTCTTCGATGTATTTGCCGACAACTACAATTGCAACATCGTCAGCCGAACCAATAGTTCTGCGCCTTCCGAAAACTCGAGCTTCAACACGGCGTCATACATATTGTTCCACAACATCGGATCAAGTACGGAGCCTGTGGGACACCGCCTGTGACCGTATAAGATTGTACTCCAGTCCCAGTTTCATATAGGAGGATTCTCTCCTTAAGTAACTTTTGACCAAGTTCGAGAGGTACCTTGAACTCAAGAGTTCGTACGCAGAAAAATGGAGCTCACCTTGCAGTGTTAAAGGCGTTTTCACGTCTAGGGTCACTATAGCACAATACTTATAGGACCTCCTTTCCATCGTTTGCCTTCAATGGCCTGCGTGCGATGTCGATGACTACCTGTAATGCATCTACCGTGGATCTCGCTTTTCTGAAGCCGTACTGATTATCAGACAATCCCTGAGGCCCCTCTGTAAATGACTCAATACGATTGCAGATGATCCGCTCTAACACTTTGCCTGCTGTATCCAGTAAGCATATTGGCGATAGGCTGCCGGACTGTAGGTGCCTTATCGCCCTTCGGAAGAAGGACTACTGTTGCTGCTTCATCGACGGGGGAAATTCCCCTCTCGTATGCATGCGTTTATATGCCTGTAAGAATAGATCGGCGAGACTAATAGCGGTATTAATTGCTACATTTGGTACCCCATCTAATCCGGGGGCTTTGCAATCTTGGACCTTGCCGCAAGCTCTGGAAAGTTCATCCAACGTGACTGCCGAACCTCGCTTAGATCTTCCAGACGATCCTTCGGTGTTATATCTCTACCCTGGCGAGGAAACATGTAGCTACAACTTTTCCCAAGAAAACGGGCAAGTGGGTGGTCGCCTGAGTCTGACGCTTACCAGCTTATACGGGCGTCCCCAGGGTCGCATCACCTCCTCCCCCCTAGCTCTCTCCAGCAACGACACTTACTAAATCTTAATGGCTTTCGTGAAGGCTCTCTGGCGTCCATATGTTGCTTCTCGAGAAAGTCAAAATTTGGCGGCTCCAGCGCGCTATGCCAATCTACGTGTTCGGTGGCATTCCCTGCGAAGTTCCGCGATCTCGTCAGTCCACTAGTACACTGGAGGACGGCGTTCTCTCTTGGACCTTTTGTCATTGACGCATCACAAGCGTCAAATACCTGGTTCATTACGGTTTCTACAATATATTCAGAACCACCGGCCAACATATCTTCAGGTTGGTCCTCCATCGTGGCAAT